CAGATCAAAGTGCCTTGAATGACGTCCTAAAATTTTGGAGTTTTTTTTCTGTATGTACTGGGACTCACGTAAGAGTTTTAGCAGGGAAGAAGCTTAATCAGTTTTAGGTTTTGAAGAAATCGCCTTGTTAGTAAAGAGGAATATGTACTAGCAAGATGTGGGATCTGTTTATTTTTCAAGACCCTGTTCCTAAGGTCACCTCCCTCTGATATCTTTTATGACATGCCCTTGCCCATCCATCATAGGAAGAACTAATTATTTCCTCTTGCTATGTACTCATTTATAGCACCTATCACAGTGTATTTTTTTAAATTTGTACATTTCTGAGCAAGCTCTGAGCTTCTAGATAGCATAGAAGGTATATTCTTTTTAAAACAATATGTTAAAGCTCATTATTGTAAATTAAATGGAAATTTAATGCACATTTATGGAGAACCTATTATGTTCCAAACATTAGTAACTGGAATACAGAACATGCTTCATAAATCTTATTCTCATTTAATTGATACTTACGTGAATGACCTTCAAAAAACCTTTCATAGTTGTGATGATCCAACCACATCAGTTAATTGAGTTCATCCCCCTCCACATCCCTCCCCCCAAGAGTGTTAGTAGTTGATACAAACATTTAACAGGTCAATATTTATTTATTATCTTATATGTTTAACAAACATTTCATTGGACTTCCATTAGATTATCAGTAGAACATTAGAATTTCCTCGGTTTAGCAACGAAAATCCAAACTAAATTTTTTAGAGTTGGCCTCTTTGTAAACATCAATTAGTGTATAGACAATGATAATAATAATTATTTCCAACTTCAGTTAAAAAGAATAGCTAAAGGTTTTTTTTAATTTCTGAAGAAGGTTTTGAATCTATTGGTAAATGGTGGGAAGGAGGAGGGAGATTAGGGGAAGATAAAGTTCCCAGAAATCTTTAATTGAGTGAAAGGTCATTTGGCTTTGCATGATTTTAAGATCACATCATAACCACTCAAGAGGCAGTGTGTCTGAATGGGTGGCCCATGTAGAGAACACATGTTTTATTAGTTGCCATGTAACTTTGTACAAGCCATTTAGATCACTTAAGTATCCCAGGATCTTCCATAAAATTGTGTCATTAGAGAAACTTGGTTACTCCTTAGGTAAAGTTTAGATATTAGAAGAGCCATGAAAGATTGGCTACTTTTTAAAAAGGAGTAGATGGAAGGATTGAAGGAAAGTTAATAAGGACCATGTAAGGATGAGAACCTTTACTTATTCCTAGAGAATCTTTAACCTGGGGGAGGGGGGAATTGATTGAGTTTTAAAAGCCTTAATTTAGAAATGGTTTCATTAACTATTCCGTTTCCTAGGAGAAATATAATATGTTTAATTCACACTTTTAAAACACAAAGGATGGGAAATATGCAAAATGTCTTTCAATCCTACTTTCTGTCCAGTCAGGTCAGAAAGAGACAGACAAAGAAATGTAGAAGTTATAGAATGAGATCAGGGAAGAGGAAATAAAATGTGGAGGGAATGACAGAGGACTGGTTTAGGTCTGCTGCCTTCAAGACCCCTTCCCCTCCCTTTTTCTCCACTGCGTCAGAATCTTTCTAGCCTCAAGACTGAGTGTGCTGGGCACCTCGCAGTCCCGGCTGGTATCTCCTGCCTTTTGAGCATGACAGCTCCCTGAGAGCCTCGAGATGGCAGCAATGCCTTCCTCCCTTTTGGGGAGGGTGGGACTAAAGCACTTACAGAGGAATTCAAGAGGACACACAGTTGTCCATCTTCAGTTGATTCACCACGGACGATTTTAGATGCTTACACTGGGATGGACAAATTTAGTCATATCCCTTTTCTCCCTTTCTTCCTGAGAGTTAGTCCATTAAAAATATTAGTCATTTTATGAATGTGTCTTTTCTGTTTAATAATAGCTTTCATTTATTGATTGTGTAAGATGTGTCTGACCAGTACTTGACGTTTTATGTAGTAAAATCTTTGCAATGATTCTATAAGGTAGGTAGTATTACAGTTAACGATCAGGACGCCAAGGCCCTAAGAGTTAAGTAATTTTGTATAAGATCACATTACTAGTGAGGGACAGAGCCGGGATTCGCTGTAACATATGAAGTACACACTCATACACATGACTTGAGCAAATGATGGAAGCAGTTAAAGAAAACCTTTGGGTATAGAGTAATTTGACCTAGGTGGTGAATTGGAAGGGTTTTAGATGTGGTCTAAGTAATTCTTTCTCTGAAGTTCACCACAGTAACAGTTCATTTTTGGTTTCTCTGCCAACTGTGACTCCCTGGTTACTTCCTTTTCCAGCAGTTGGAATTAAGTGACCGACATAAGGTGACATAAGAGTTAAAAGTAGATTAGAGTGTTAGAATTTACAGTTGGAAAAGTAAGTGTTGTTTTGCTCGTTCCTTGAGGGGGCCCCTTCTGTGTTTTGGGGATCCAGTATAAGCTGTTTTACTGCATGAGAGGGCACAGACGTTGGACGAGGGAAAATCTGTCATGTGTGCCAGTAAATGCCAGATTATTTTAGAAAGTGGAATTATTATTATTAAAAGCAAGTGTATGTCTCAAATTTAGGGTCTACTTTAGCTTTCCCTCAAATGTTTGTGGGTTATTTTTCAGAAATTACATTTTTTTTTCAATGGAAGAAGTTGGTCTGCAGTTGTTGGAAATAGGGGAAAAGGGTAATTTGAAGCAGAAAAACAGTAGGGTTTTCCAAATGGGATGTTGTGGTAATGGGGTGTCATTGTTCTAACTGAATACTTTCTCAGGAATGGAAGAGACATTTTTCTTTACTGGATCCAAATTTCAGCAGCAAGATGTTGGGAAGGAATTTTGTGGTTCTGTTTTGAAGTTGATTTAACTAAAAATACTAAGGCTCACCTAGAGTGTACAGCTCCTGTCCTCTGATGACAACCCTAATTTACCTCATGTTGTGTCATCGTGAAGGTATCATTAGCCACCATGCGGGATCAATATCTAGACCTTCATAAATGTGAAGTAACTTTACAGGGAAAAATAAAATATAGGGAGGCTCTGGTCAGTGGGTACACACTGCATAAATAGGAACTTCTCAAAATGTTAAGAGTCACTTGAGAAATTAAGCTGGAATGTCATGTCAATTCTGGGGGACATTTGTCAGAGGAACTCAAGGCAAAAATAGCTGAGGCTATAGCAAAATCATATAATTTTTCTTTTTTTATGTAACTGTCATACTCCATGCCTGGAAAGTAGCCAGTATTGGGCCATCTTTTATGGGAATAAAGAAAGAGAAAGATTGATCTCCTAAGTTATAAGTTACTGAGTCTTGCCTCAATTCCAGAAAAACTAATAGAATTCATGGGAGGTGAGACAAACCTTTTGGAGAGTACCTAACTCTCTTTGACTATCTGTAGAAGACTCTAGCCAGAACTCAGATTGCAGGAGTAGTCCTGACTGGTTTCTTTTCCATTTGGGGAAATAAGAAATAAATTGGAGGATAATGTGGGAATCATTAAATATATTTACTGAGATTTTATAAAAACTGTTCTAGGGCAAAAAAAAAAAAAAAGGAAAGGAAAGAAAAGAAAAAGAAAAAAGACAAGGAAATGGGATGAAGGGTCACAGTTCCGATCTCAGTATTAAATCTAGTTAGCAGGCATGAGGCAAAGGGCAGAAATAAATAACCAAGTTTTATACAGAAAGAAGTCAACAGAATGTCCTTGCAGTTAATAGTAGAAGCAGCAATTGCAGTATGTTAATAACTTGAGGGGAAGAGCAGAATAACCCTGCTGAAAAAAACCAGCATAAGATTTTTCTGCTTAAATAAGATTGGATCCTGTCTTGGGTATAATGGCCAGGTTTCAGGAAAGAGACTTGTCTGTGGCCGCCTATGAAATTTTGTTGAAATTCACTATCAAGTTCAAAATTGCCTTTTCTAGGCAAGCAAAGAAAGCTGCTGAATCTGAGCCATCCAGCCCAGTGCATTCACAGCCGTGAACAGCACACTGAGGAAAACACAAAAGAACTAGACAGAATCTCTGCCTCTGCTTAGGAGCATGCAGTTTAGTTGGGGAGACAAAACTTAAATACTAGAACCAATAAAAGAAGATTACAAGGCGACTTGCAAGTAAGTGTATAATAGTATGGCGCAAATGACACAGATAAATTCAGAGGGGACATGGAGGAAAGGGGAGTGAGCAAAACACAACAGTGTCAGGTTAGTTAGGAAAGGCATGTTTAACAGTACTGTAGCTTCCATGTTGCTTTCTGTAGCATCGATGAAGAACAATGTGGGTTAGGAAATTCAGATATTCTGCATTGATCTCTTCCTCCTTATCTGCCGAGTCTGTCCGTCTATCACAGATGGAAATTAAATTGATCCAACAGTTTGCTCTCCACAAAGCCGTGTTGGTTTCTACCTAGTAATTTATGCTTTTCTTGGTGTTTGCAAATCGATTGCTATCATGGGATGCAGTCAAACCTGGGCCTGGATCCAGTAGGTTGGGGGATTATTGGAGTGGATATGTGTGTATGCGATTGAAATCCTGGAAAAACGGACTCTAGTTTCTATGTATTTTTACTCATTGAATAAAAACATTTTCAGGGTTTTTTTAAAAAGCATGTTTAATTACACTCAGATTGCATTTTTAGGGAATGTATCTGCTTTATTTCCTACTGCTCCTGACAGGCCCAACCTTCAAACCACCTTTAGTGGCTTCGTCGCCAGACCTTTTGTTTTAAAAAAGCCTTGCCCTACCCCGCAAATATTAGAGATCGCTACTTTTTTCCTCTCGAAAAAAAAAATAAACATATATAGATAGATAGATAGATAGATGTTCTTGTAGTTTAATAAATAAAACATTGCTCCTGAAAGGCTTAGGAAAGTATACTTTATTCAAACACTCGACTTCATTGTTCTACGTTAAAAAAATTTTTTTAAAGTCCTTCTGAGGATTGTGAAATTCTTTCAAAACAAATTAAAAAGAAAACGTTTTCTGTGATTTCTTTACAGATTCTGGACAATCAGGAAGTCCAAGCCACAATGATCCTGCCAAGAATCCTCCAGGTAAATATGTGTTCCAGGACGTTTGCAATCTGACATTGTTGGAGAACAAAGGTACCACTGTATAGATAAACACCCCGTAATTGGTCAGCTGCCTATTTTGTTCTGGCAGGCAGGTATGATCAGGACAAGATGTGATTCTTTTTAGGCCCTTCACAGTGGCACATACTTCCACATTGGCGTCATCAGTATGTACCTAATCACTAATGTTTTACTTTTTGTTGGTGTTTCTTTGAAAACGAATATGCATGTATTTTATAGTTGTATATCTTTCAGGTGCTAAAAGTCACTGTTGTTTGAAAAGCCAAAAAACCTTCTAATCTTTCTTTTAAAATGCACAAGAAAAAGTATAATTTTTCATACTCTTATTATAGCTTATCAAATCTCATTACTTTAAAAAGTAGGTTGTGGTGGTAGTGGTTGTGTCTTCATGCGGGATTTTTGCAAATGAGTTTTTATTCCATAATGTTTGTAATGGGATTCCCAGAATCAGGAAATAATGAAAGTAAGACTTTTCCTTTAGTGTAATGTATGTCGAATACTCTCTTTATTTTCAGAAGTTGTTCCAGATCTGAAAATGGCTTTTATAAGAAACCGTACTGTCTTCATGGTTTTGTTTTTCCTAAAGCTGAAGATATAGAATTTTGACGTTGATTTAGGAGTAGTATCTTTTCTCATGAGATAAAAACTAGTGCAAAGAAGAATTTCTAATATTTTAATCTCATAAAAATTTTAATTATATCTGTGACTTTAGTAAAAGAATGCTCTAAGAATAACCTAACAAAAACAAAACAAACAGGTAAAAAAATTCAAACTAACCACATATAACCTCCACCTCCAAAATGATCTCATTTGGCGTTTCATTGAAAATAGACCCCCAAATTTATAAAAGGTAATGATAAAAGTTTCCACAGGTAGACTTAGTTTTAGGTCCTTAATTGCTTGATCTTCCTGTCATAATACTTTGCTAATGTGAGGCTGAAGAACCGTCAAAACTACAAGAAAATATGTCAGAGCATTCTTGCTTTAAAAATGATGTTAGAAAGATATAACAAGTAAATATGTAAGTAAAAATGCAAAGTCAAAACAGGATATATTTTTTTCTTTCTGAGTCTTGCCTATATTTTGTTCTCTATTTTTATCTTCGAAAAAATTTTTCCAACTGCATATTAACTTATTCTGTATTGTACAAAACCAGATTGTATGACAAAAGTAGTATATCCTTCAAAGATAAAAAAATTCTAATTAAGTATAGATATAAAATGTATACTAAGTTGATTTTTCTTTACTTTCATCAAAGTCATTCAGTATGACTAAAAATTGGTAGCAAAACATTGAGAAAACTGAAAAATTTTAAATGTAACTTCCAGTTAAATTGATTATTTTATTTTTTGTGTGGATGGCGCCAAGAAAGCGAGCTATTTAGAATATAATATCTGAAGCTGAGAAAAGTTATTAGCTTGTAATGTCTTCAACTTTACTAAAATTTCTTCCTTTTAGTTATTAATGTTTTCTCTGTGCAGCATGATAACCAAAAGTGAATTGTATCCAAACATTTTTTAAAATCTTCACTCATTTTACAAAGAACTGGCAGGGAGGGGGACCTTTACCAGAAAAAGAGTTGATAAGCATTGTTAAGTCAGACTAAACAAAGGATATGCTCTTTGCATTTGAATGACAGCTTGGTTTGAAATTAATAAAGCTGATATTGTTTGAAATGCATTTCTGAACATGTACAGAAAGAATCATACTCACTTAAAATGTTCTCTACCTGAGCTGAATGAATAATCTCTGAATAGTTATATAATGACAGAATATGATTTTTCAATGTTTGTTGAGAAGCTTGGTTAAATTTTCTTTACTACATTCAGTGTAGCACCTATTAATTTATCTGTTTACATATAATATGGCTAGCAGAAACAATCAAGATAAAGCATCTCTATTTTTTTCCCTTTTAAATTTTCCTTGGAAATCAAACCTTTTGTGAACTATGTCTGAAAACTGGAACGTTGTAGGTAAATGTATATTATGATTAGTTGAATATTATGTATATGTAAATTGTACATTGGTTACCAGTTTTTCAGAGATAGAATATGATAAAACATAAAATATCAAAATTAAGTGGAATAAAATTAGAATTTTCTTTGATGATTCAGAAGCATTCCATCGTTTTAACATGCTTTGTGTATCATTATATTATGGACTTAACCTTAGAGATTATGAAGGAATTCTGCTTGATGGAAGTAAGAGTTTGTTCTGTAATACCTTGACATAAATCAAACCACTAGAAATATTGAATAGTATCTAACTGGAAATGTGAAAAATCATAACTTATTAAGGTTTTTGTTTTGCAGTCAATTGGGATAAATTATACTTATTATTAAAAGCTCTTTTCATAAGTATAAGCATGTTTGGTATTTTTAGAGCATAATTTATCTCTTGGAGCCTCTTTTCATCTCTGTTTTCTGGCTTTGGCTGAAATGTGAAATCTCTGAATTACCGTATCGAGAAGGCATGATACATTTACAGGCAAATTCAGTCACTACCAGGAGCAATGAAACAGTCGAATCACTTTGCTGTTTGTATTGTTATAACAAAGAGAAAGTAAACTTTTGAAAAAGATTGCCTTGAGTTCCAGCTCTTTCTTGTCACTGGTAGTTTTCCACTGGGAGATGTGCAACCCCTGGACATTGCCACCATCTACTTCTGTGTTTATTTCATAACAGCTTGGGAAGAGATAGCAAAAATGCAAGCCCTTTTGGAGGTAAAGGCCCTTTGAAATCTGTTTACCACTGTTGACATGAAGGTGGGATCACATCCAGTCATTCTATAAGTGCAGATGCATGGGTCTCCCACAAACTGGGCATCCCCGTGGCTTCGGTTTTCTCCAGCATCAGACATGACTATCTGATTCAGAAGAACTTCTGAAGGGTGACCTTAAGGTTCTTCAGACTGTAGTATGGAGTCTACAGATAGGCCTTTAGTTTTTAATTTGTGTTTCCTGATTGGGATTTGTACTTAGTTAGCAAGCTAATCACATGCACTTGAACAAAAGCGACACAATTTGGGGGAGGAAGAATATTTGCTACTTATTTTTAAAAGCGCTTAAGTAGGTTTATTTTACTATTTTAAAAGCACTTAAATAGTCTTTGCAGTATTTCCTTATACTATTTCGTGATTTAATTTTTTGTATTTATTCTTTGTTACATAGTGGGGATGGGCACCATACTCTTTTCTGGGCTAAGGTGTCCAAAAAGTCTGACTTTGTTCAAGGACATGGCATTGTTATTTTGGTCAAGAACCACTAGGCTACTTCATTTTTTGTATGATGCACATTTTTCTTATTTATGTTGGGGTCAAAAGTTATATGTTTATATCTAGATACTTCTTTCTGAACAGTAAATTAATCCCTTCTAAGCAGTAGAGCTGCAAGAGTCCTCTTTCAGCTATAGCAAACAACTGTTGTGGACCAAAGGAGAGCAAACCATTAATTTAAGAACTTAGACACAGACCTAATTTTATTTACAATGATTAAAAGCTCTACTTTTGCTTTTAGAAGATGTGTGTGATTGGATTATAATCTTTTGAAATGAACTTTGACTTGCTATAGTATTTTGTGTCTCTACATTCCTTGGACTATGAACTTTTAGACTTCCCAATCTTACTCAGTTGCCTAATGCTGGAGTGGTTGATATCCAAGGAAAACAAGGCAGTCTAGAAGTTTGATTTTGCCTCTAAGCCAGCTAGAAGTGGATGCCTCATCTTGGAGTTCAGGGAGCCTGTAGGTTTGTGGGGAGCTCTCTCCTGGCTGGAAATACAACAAAGAAACATTGAATCTTAGGACACTTTTTGCAAATTCTGTGATGAAAACTTCTGAAGCATTCCAAGTATCATTAACCAGAGCTTTCTGACCTAGAATGACATGGATTTATCCTACTTTTCTTTTTTGCAAAATTTGTAGGATGCTTGTGCAGTTTTGTGGGGCAGCTTTCGTGTGTAGTGGGACAAAACCTCTGGGGACCATTAAGATCATATATTGGGTAAATGTCAAATAAGCCACCTTATATCCTACCTGGAACAAAAATGGAATTACATAAATAATTGAATAAGTTAAATAAGGTATATCAAGTATAGCAATATGCTCATCTTGCATTTAAGATATTATTTTAATTTATATTTATATATATTCCATATATAAGAGAGATCATAAAGGCAAGTATTTGCCTTTCTCTAACTTATTTCACTTTAGCATAATGCCCTCAAGGTCCATCCATGTTGTCACAAATGGCAAGATTTTGTTCTTTTTATTTATTTATTTATTTTCTGCTGTACACGGGCCTCTCACTACTGTGGCCTCTCCCGTTGTGGAGCACAGGCTCCGGACACGCAGGCTCAGCAGCCGTGGCTCACAGGCCCAGCCGCTCCACGGCATGTGGGATCTTCCTGGACCGGGGCACGAGCCCGCGTCCCCTGCATCGGCAGGCGGACTCTCAACCACTGTGCCACCCGGGAAGCCCAAGATTTTGTTGTTTTTTATGGCTGAATAATATTCCATTGTATGTATGTACCTCATACATACCACAATTTCTTTATCCATTTACCCATCAGTGGACACTTAGGTTGTTTCCGTGTCTTGGCTATTGTAAATAATGCTGTAAAGAACATGGGGGTGCATATTATCTTTTGGAATTTGTGTTTTCATTTTCTTTGGATAAGTACTCAGGCATGGAATCTGTGGATCATATGCTAGTTCTATTTTTAATTTTTTGAGTAACTTCCATTCTCTTTTCCATAGTGGCTGCACCAATTTACATTCCCACCAACAGAGCACAAGGGTTTCCTTTTCTCTGTATCCTCTCCAACACTTGTTATTTCTAGTCTTTTTGATAATAGCCATTCTTACAAGTGTGAGGTGGTAGCTCATTGTGGTTTCAGTTTGCATTTCCCTGGCGAGTAAAGATGTAGAGCATATTTTTATGTACCTGCATTGGTCATCTGTATGT